TGGGCTGCAAGCCTCATCCTAGCTCCCTACCATAAGCCGAGACGCGTGGGTCCTGGGTCCCGGGTCCCGGACTCTGACACTGGTTATCTGCCATATAGTGTGTGTACCATGTGTGTGCACAGGTGTGACGCATATGCATGTGCCTGTATGTCTGGGGGTGCTGTGGGTGCCCATCCATGTCCTGTCGACACTGACCAATGCTTTGCTGGCCCCAGAGCGCTCTGGTGGAGTGCCCAGCCCCGCCGCCCACCATGAGTGGCAGTGCTGCCTGGCGGGGTTTGGGCTGCCTATGTCTGGGCCTCACTGGGTGTGTGTCCCTGTCTGGCTCCCTGGTGCCGGCCCCTCCCAGGGATTTGGGCAGCCTGGGCCCGGCTCTTCCCTCCCAGCCCGGGTGGGCAGGCGGGCAGGCGTGGGGGCTCCTTGGCGGGTTCGCCTCTGGCTGAGACCCAGGTGCAGGCAGTGCTCATAGCCCCACACACCACCTCCCCCCAAGCTGGGCAGACAGGAAAATACCAGACATAGTTGTGCAAAGGTGGCTGCAGGCCGGCAGGCGGCAGGGGGTGGGGGCCGCACTAGGGCGCCAGAGCCACCACGCTGAGGGGAGGCCTCTGTGCCAGGCTGGCCCCTGCAGCTGGAGGGGCACACACATCTATATGAGTGTGCATGTGTGGGCCAGGACCCATGTGTGAGCTGCTGCCCCCAGCCTGGTGTCACTCTGCTGGCATTGGAGAAGGAAGTACATCTCCTGGGGAACTGGGGCTGGAAAGGGGTGTGCAGGGAGCCAGGTGCATGCTTCCTAGCTTCAGTGCTGCCTGAACTATCTGGGTGACCTTGGCAGGCCAAGTTACTGTGTGGGGCACCCCAGTCTGGGGTGGGGAACAAGAATCCTCAGGGCTACCAGTTGCTGGCACCTCCTGTATGCCAGGCACCGGGCCAGGTGCACCCTGAATCTCTACTCTGTCCGGCAAGCTGGCACTTTATTGTGGTGCCTGTGTTATGGATGAGAAAATCAAGGCTCAGAGGGGGTGACAGAGACTCATCTGAGGCCCCACAGCCAGGGGAACTGGAACCACGTACCCTGGCTCTGGGTAGTACTCTCTAAACACACCCAAGAGGGGGCTCCTGACATACACGCCTGCATAGGCACTGCCTAGCTGGGGCCTCTCCTGAGGCCCCCGTAGCCTAGAGCAGAGAGCTCTGCCCTGACTGGATCACCTGGGTGTGCTTGCACTCCCACCAGAGCTGGGTTTTCCCTCCTAGAGCACTCTTCTGGGGATGGGGGAGGGGCCTGTCTACTGGGCTAGAGGTTCCCAGGGAAGGTGAACCCCATGATCTTCCCGGAAGTGCTGCCTGCCCTGGTCCCTCTCCTGAGACCTGCTGGGCTGAGGACTTACAGGATAAGCCCCTCCCCTGCCTCCTGGGAGGAGGCCTGCTCCTTCCAGGGCTGCTCAGAGCCTCTCCAGGGCCTCCCAGTGTTCTTTCTTTGATGTAGTCAGGCTCTGGAAGGTGACTATGGTCAGCTGTGGCCAATCCACAGGACAGGAGAGGCCTGAGGCTCTCTGAGGGGCACATGCTTGTTTAGTTACACACTAAACCAAAGCCCAGGTGCTCCCAGCTGAGGGTGAGACTGCAGTGTCTGCGGATACAGTGGGAGGGCCGGTCCCCTACTCAGCTGTCCTCGCAGCTCTAGGCTGGCCAAAGGCTGGGGAACTCCGAGATGGTGACAATTCATTCAACAAGTTTGATTAAGTACCTACTATGCACCCAGCACTGTTCTAGGTGCTGAATATTGCATACTAATGGGAAATACTAATAATTGGATGTGCATCATTGATTTCTCCCCCAAACCCAATGGGGATGGCTTATAACTATGATTATCATCCCATTTTAGAGGTTAAGACTGGGAGGTGACTTGCTCTAAGTCACATGGGCAGGAAGTGGCAAGAGCCACGTTAGAGACCCAGTGGTTGACTCCATACTTGGAGCTCTGCTCTGCTGCCTGGTCAGGAAGCACCTCCCACCCCCACCTCTTCCCTCAGGATGAGGCCTGCCCCTGCCCCTAGCCCCTGCCTCTGGGCTGTGGAGGAAGGTGGAGCTGCAGTGGTTCCCAGGAATGCAGGGCTGTGGGGCCCTGTGCTTTGGCAGTATATCTGCCTGGCACTCTCCAAGCCTCCCTGTGACTGCCCCCCAGTGGGCCTCTCCGGTACCCACTTGCTGCCTGCTAGGCTTTGCATCTAGCTCCCACAAACCAAGGGGGGGGGGATGCCAAACCTGAGCCCCTTTGCCTGCCTCTCCCCTCATCATGGGCACAGGAGGGGCTAATGGTGAACAACACTTCTAGACTCACCTAGGCTTAAAACCAAGCTCTGCCACAGACAAGTTGTGTGACCCTGACAGATCACTTAATCTCGCTGAGCCTCAGTTTTTGCATCTGTAAAATGGGGATGAAACAGTACCTGTTGGAACAGGTGCTGGCATGTTGCCCGACTATAAACGACTGGCTGTTGGTATGGTTGTGTGATATTCACCCATGGCTTCCAGTCCTGGGCTTGCTGCCCACTTGAGTAACCTGGGATTGGGGCTCCTCGGGGCCTCAGTTTCCCCATCTGTAAGACCAGCATAGTGACCGTGATGGTCCCAGTCACCAGACATGGGGGCACCCACGGAGCATAAGGAGGGGGCAGGGACTTATCTCCTCTTTCCATTCAATATCAAGAATACCACATGGGCTTTTGAGTTGCATCTTGAGCTCTTGTCCCCAAGTCCTAGGCTGGGCAGGCCACAGCTGACCAAAGGGCAGTTTCAGGGCTACTCTGGGAATAAGGGGTGTCCTTTATGTTGCCCTTGACAACGCTGATACACAGGTCTTCACCCACTTGGCTCCAGTCTGCTGTGCGGTGGGCAGGGAGAGCCCCATCTCACAGAGGGCACTGCCTTCTCTCTGCTTCTGCCAAGGAGACCCTGAGTGCTTCTCAAGATGGGTGTGGTGGGCTCCCCTCCAGGCTCAGGGCCAGCCTACCACCCTTCCCCAAGCAGAGAAAGGGCTTTATCCAGAGCAGATTCCAGGCCGCTCCTAGTAGCCTGGTGACCTTGAGCCTCAGTTTCCCCATCTGTATGTCGGGAAATGAGTGCCATCTACTCACAGTATTTTAGAAGGTTCAGAGAACTCATGGACAGATAGTGCTACACGGTAGGTGTTTAACGGATGCGTTCCACAACAGCCACAGGGCCCTGGGGGAGACTACCTTTTCTGGGCCTCAGTTTCCCACGTGTCGACCCGCCAGTCGGAGAGTGCCCTCCCCGCCTGGCGCTCACCCCACCCGCGGAGGGTGGGTAGGGCCGCCAGGTAGGCCCAGCAGACGAGGGGCTTGACCGGCGCTGCAGCTGGGGGCCTCTGCTCAGCGGCCAGCGGCGCACAATAGCGGCCATTGTCTCGGCAGGGCCGGCGGGGAGGGCGCAGAGGGGCGGGGGCCGAGCCCGAGGGCCAGCGCGGCCCACCCCGGGATGACCCCCGCCCCGCCCCCGCCGCCCTGGTGGTCCCCGAGTCGTCCCCGCGCGCCCTCTGCTCTAATTAGTTCCTTTTGCAGCTGGAGCCCCGGCGCGGGCGCACGGCAACGCGACCACCTTGGCGCGACCTCCCGGCCCGGCAGCCAGTCCTCCCCAGGCGCGCTCCGGCACCCCACAACCCCGCGCTAGCAGGGTGGAGTCGCATCACCTCGGAGCTAGCGGGGAATTGAGGCTGGGGGTTCCGCATCGAGACTCCAGGGGAAGGATCTCCGCGCTGCACCCAGGGGTCTCCTGCTGAGTGCCCGCACTGGGGTGTCGGAGATACGTGGCCCCCGCCCACTGCGGGCCCCACCACTGGTTAAAAATCTTGCTTGTACCCTCAGAGCAGGCAGCCGCCCTTCGGAGCGTCTCCATCCTCCCCACCTCCCTGGTTGAATTCCCAGTTCCAAACCAGCACTCCACCCTAATCAGCAGGCCCAGTCCCCAGAGACCCACCCCCACACACACTTCCTGCCCCTGGGTTCTGCCCAGGGGTTCCTTCTGATGGGAGCCCAGCTCAGAGGCCCAGCCTCTCCACCCCTGAGAAAGGAGGAAGAAGACGCCCCCAAACCCACCCCCGACCCCAGGCTGGCCCCACCTCAATTTGCCTCCCAATGGAGGCCCCGCCCCAAGGGGAAGAGCCTGTGACCCCCACTCCTTGGCCGATCTCAAAGTGCCCCCTTCCATCTCCCAGACAGCAGCCCAACCAGCAGCCAGTTCTGAACTCAGCTCTTGCTTTGTTCCTGGGCTGGACGAAGGGGGTGGGGGATGCAAGACAGCCAGGGCCACGCTCTCTGGAGGCCAAGGGGACAGACAACAGGGCCTAGAACTGGCGCTGTGATAACCCATGGAGGCCAGTCAGACATCACTCAATTTAACTTTTATGACAACCAGCATCTCTGGCCCCATCCTGGGAGACAGGCTCCTCTTGGGTTCTGGGTTCTGGGTTGAGGCAGTATCTTCTGCAGGTGTTCAGAACAAGGTGATCCGGGGGTCCTCCCTGACTCCCCTCTGGCCTGGGGGGAAGGCAGTGGGGTAGGTGCCAAGGATGTTGCTTGGGCAGGGTCACTGTGAGAATCAGTGTCAATTTGAAGTCCCAGTTCTTCCGCCACGGTCCCCTTCTCTGGAAGGTCAGGTTAGGGTTGGAGAATGGAGGCTGTGGGGAGGCCTGTGGCCCTAGGCCAGCCAAGGACCAGGCCACCAGCCCTTCCTGGCTCCTGAATTCTTAATCAGCATAAATATTTACTTCCTTCCTCTCCTTCCAGGCTCCTAGCACAGAGGAGCTTCAGGGAGGCTGGACTGGGCCTGTGTCTAAAAATAAACAGGTGGAGGAGGGACAGGCAGACATACAGACAGACATAACTGGGGGAGTGGGTCAGGCAGAGGGCAGCTCCTCCCCTAGCCAGAGGGAGAGTGGAGGGGCCCAGGTCCATCCATCACTGTCACCCACTCACCTGCCTGCCTGGGTCTGGAGCTGCTGAAGGACAGGGTGGCAGTCTGGTCCCAGCCCCTCTTGCATCGCTGGGAGCTCCTGGCCCATGCATGGCCTGGGAGGCAAATCCAAACAAATCTGAGGGCTCTCACCTGATGGAGTTTAACAGGGCAGTCAAGTCACAGACCTGGGTCCCATGGCCAAGTGCAGCCACCTGTGCTCCGATAACACAGTCCCCCTCCCTGGGCTCAGAGGCTTTGACATTAGCTATGTGCTGGTGAAGTCTTGGGATGTGGCCCCAAAAGCAGAGTGTCCTAAGTGAGGGAGCGGACTACGACCTTGTTCCCTGTGTGCTTGGAGGGTCTTGGCAGAAATGGAGCTTGTCCTGGGAGACAGATGAGCCAGGGCTCAGGACCTGTTGAAAGTTGCTGAGGGGCTTGGCCTGGAGAAAAGATGAGCAGGGGCCGCCCTCCCCAGCCTGCTTGCAGCTGGGCAACACTGGCCCCCAAGAAGACAAACCAGCGAAATATACAAAGCCTTTTACCACGTAGTGGTTATGGGGATGGTCTGTATTCAATTGTGAAAACCTGGATTCAGTGACTAGCTGGGAGTATCGCATCGTGTTGACCTGTTTAGCAGATAGATTTGTAGGGTGTATTCATCTCAATTAACAAATGCAAGGAAACACTGACACTCTTTCACCACATGTGAAAAGGTTGCCGCTATAAGAAAAGTTTGATTTGGAATGAAGAGTTGACTTTGCTCTTGGGTCATTTATATGTGAGGAAAATTACACCATTGAGACATTCTAAGAAAAGGGTGAAAATTCCAGCATGAAAACTCAGTAAAAGAATATTACCACCAGTTAAAAATGATATATGTATGTATTTTACTAACCACCAGACAGAGCTGCTCCAACCCTGCCCCTGCCTGGCCTGGCTGGACCACAGTCCCCCGCTGCCCCCTGGTGGCAACCCAGAGCCCTCTGGTTCCCGGTGCCTGTTGGCACCTCTCTTCCTGACCTCGCTTGGGAGGCAAGGCGACGTATCTGCACCCCCATCCCTTGGGGTCAAGCTTTGCTCAGGTTTGCCCAGCAAACTCTCAGCCTTGTCCCCTCAGAGGTGACCACAGCTGCCTGTGGGGCCCGGCACAGTGGACACTCGGTGGTCAGTAGTTGCGGACCACTCATGGCCACTTTAGAGGACAGTTATTGCTCCTCTGGCTTGGTTTTGGGTCTTTTGGCTCAAACCAGGCATGTATCCCAGGCATGACTTGTCACCTGGTCAGAAATGACCTTCGGGGGCACATTGGTTGGGAGTTGGCTTGGGACTCCAGGTCTGGGCGGCAGGGCCCTGGTTCGGATCCCACATGTGGGCCGGTGATGCTGCGCCCTCTGCGGCTAAGATGGTGAGCTGCAGCTCGACCTGGAGCTGGGCTGCCGTGAGTCGCTGGCGACGGCGTGAGCTGCCGTGGGCCACCGTGGGAGGCCGTCCAGTGGCCAGTGAGTGGCTGCCTCACCCGGGAAGAGCACAATGATAGTGCCAGCATGGGCCAGTGAAGCAACGTCCTCCACAACTGGACTGAGGAGCAAAAAGGACAGCAGCTTGTCTGTTCCCCTTCCCCAATTCCCCAATGGACTCTTTAAAAAAAAAAAAAGAAAAGAAATGACCTTTGGGACTTGGCTGGCTATTTCCAGGAAGATCTGGCCTTGAATCTGGTAGCTCCACCACTCCTAGCTTTGTGACCTGAGGCAGTGTCTCTAAAACTCAGTTTCATGGCAAAATGGACTCTCTGAGCTTTGCCTCCCAGAAAAAACCCGTGGGAAGTGGACATGGAAGCCCTGAGCAGGTGATTGGCTCTATAATACCTGCTGGTCAGGCCACTCCGAGGGTCTCCCTATCTGAGGAGACAGCTTTCACACTGCTGCACACCCACTGCCTCCCTCTCCTGTGGGCTTTAATGGGTGCAGCCCGAGGAGGAGCCCAGGGCGTCAATGTCACAGCACAGTTCCTGTCCTCCCTCAGGTTCCGGCCTGAAGACCAGCTTGGGAGCTCCCCACTACCTGCTGCCACATCCAACCCCAGCCCCACGTCACCATGCACTCCTTGGACGAGCCGCTCGACCTGAAGCTGAGCATCACCAAGCTCCGGGCGGCGAGAGAGAAGCGGGAGAGGACGCTGAGTGTGGTCCGGCACCGAACTCTACACAGGGAGCTCGGCCTGGTGGACGACAGCCCCACGCCGGGCTCCCCGGGCTCCCCGCCCTCAGGTACTGCACCCAGGCAGGGCAACAGTCTCTGGGCCCTGATGGAGGATGTCCAAAGTGTGTCCACCAGGACGTAACCGCAGTCCCTCACAGCTTCCAGCTTAGAGCATTCCCACACTCCGGTTATTCATCCTGCCAGCAGTTTACCTTTGGAGGTGACATTGTCCCTCGGAGGAGGACACTGATCTGCCCAGTTTATAAAGCTGGAACAGCAGAGCCAGAATTCAAATGGAGGCCTCTGGGAGAATGTGGAATGGCTGGTAAGGTGGGGTGAGGGTTCACATGTAACAAAAGCCCCCCGAGACCCAACTCCTGGGCTTTGAGGCAGTGTGGGCAGCCAGCCGGGTAAGTAGAGATTGGGGACCAAGCCCAGCAAGTGATTGCAGGATGCTCAGGGGTCAGGCCCTCTGCTCGGCCTCCAGTACACTGGAAAACCATATCTACCACATCTGAGCTGGAAGGCTCTGAAAGCAGCCAGCCCAAACCTTATTGTATAGAGGGGACCAGTGAGGAAGACGGGGCCCAGGGGAAGTTAGAACGGTCGCACCTGCCAAAGTGACAGGAAGCTAGGGGCCCTGGCTTCCAGTTCCTAGTCACTCAGTGTACCAGATCATTCTATCTATAAAATGGGTACTTCCTACTTCTCCTGTTAACCAATGGCCGAGCTCTCGTGATGGCAGAGGTCACATTTGTCAGACGTACAGGCTGCTGCTCCGAAGCCTAGAGCCCTGAGGTGGTCTGGGAGCATGGCGTGGCTGGGGTCTGCTTCTAGGGTCACGGTGAGGGGTTCAGAGATGGCAGGGCCTGGCTCACCAGGACTAATGACCCCAGCACCCCTAAATTGTGCCTGTCTTTTAGGCTTCCTGCTGAACCCCAAGTTCCCTGAGAAGGTGGAGGGACGCTTTACGGCGGCCCCTCTGGTGGACCTCAGCTTGTCGCCACCCTCTGGGCTGGACTCTCCCAATGGCAGCAGCTCGCTGTCCCCCGAGCGCCAGGGCAATGGGGACCTGCCTGCAGTGCCCACAGCCCCGGTAAGGAGGGGGTGTGGGTTCTGGAGAGAGAAGGTATATTGGTTTCCTGGGGCCACTGCCACCATCTGGGTGGCTTAAAACCACAGAAATGTATTGTTTTCTCACTATTCTGGAAGCTGAAGTCCAAAATCAAGGTGTCAACAGAGTTGGTTCCCTTTGAAGGCTCTAGAGAGGAATCCTTCCTCGCCTCTTCCAGTGTCTGGTGGCTCCAGGTGGTCCTTGCTTTGTAGCCATGTTGCTCCAATCTGCCTCCATTGTCACACAGTCTTCTTCCCTGTGCGTGTCTGTCCAAACCTCCCCCTTTCTCTTAAGAAGACTGGTCACTGGATTTAGGGCTCACTCCAGTCCGGTCTGGCCTCCTAACTTAATTACATCTACAAAGATCCTATTTCCAAATAAGACCACACACACAGGTACACGGGGGGTTAGGACTAGGACATATCCTTGTGGGGGACACAATTCAACCTGCTACAAAGGAGACAGAGGGTGTCTGGGCCTGCCGGCTCCAAAGTACTGACCAGCTCTGCCCGTCGCCCTCTCCTGCCAGGATTTCCAGCCGTTGCGCTACCTCGACGGCGTCCCCAGCTCCTTCCAGTTCTTCCTGCCTCTGGGCTCCGGGGGGGCCCTGCACCTGCCTGCTTCCTCCTTCCTCACCACCCCCAAGGACAAGTGCCTCTCACCAGAGCTACCCCTGCCCAAGCAGCTGGTGTGTCGCTGGGCCAAGGTGAGTGGGGGCCAGGAAGAGCGGGGCAGAGTCCGGGGCAGGTGCCCCTCCATGTGCTCAGAGACCTCCCTGGCCCCACAGTGTAACCAGCTCTTTGAGCTCCTGCAAGACCTGGTGGATCACGTCAACGACTACCACGTCAAGCCCGAAAAGGATGCAGGGTACTGCTGCCACTGGGAGGGCTGTGCCCGTCACGGCCGAGGCTTCAACGCCAGGTGAGGGAGGGCAAGAGCGGGTGGAAGGGAAGGGGCACAAGTGTCCAGCAAGCTGAGCTGTGCTCTGTGCCCTCCCTGGAGCAGGTACAAGATGCTTATCCACATCCGCACGCACACCAATGAGAAGCCACACCGCTGCCCCACCTGCAGTAAGAGCTTCTCCCGCCTGGAGAACCTGAAGATACACAACCGGTCGCACACAGGTGAGAGATGGGGCTGGAGGGTGATGGTTGGGCAGGCTGCCCATGGTCTCTGAGCCTCCAACAGATGAGGGATGCGTCCCACTGTTCACCGGTCCCTTTTCGTGTGCCACTAGCTGGGGGAAACACTCTCTTGCGGGTCAGACCCTCCATATATGGGAGCGCAGACAGGCCTTCCTGTGTCACACTCTGCTTTGTTGTGTTTGTAAGATCGTCTGACTAATGCCACCTGTGGACACAGCCATTGTGTCTGCTTCATTCCTCACCATACTCAGGCACACAGTAGGACCAGCACTGACCAACAGAGCCACACACCTGATTTTAAATTCCCTAATTGCCGCATTGAAGTACAAAAAATAGGTGAAATGAATTGTAATCATATATTTTCTTGAATCCAATATGTCCAAAGTGTTATTTCGGTATTAAAAAGATATCAAGGAGACACTGAAATTCTTCCTTTCGTCCAAAGTCTGCAGAATCGGGTGTGTATTTTACACTCGTAGCACGTCTCAATTTGGACTGGCCATACTCAAAGGCCTGTAGTCTCACGTGGCTCCGTCCTGGTCAGTGCGAGAACAGACGTTTAGTAAATCTGGAGCCATTTTGTGGAGGAAGGGCCACATAAAGGGTAGTTGTCATTCACGCAGCACTCACAGTGGGCTTGCCCCTAGTAGGGGCTTTATGGAAGTCTATAATCAGGTTCATCGGTTCGCCTGCCAAAGTGGTCACTGTCACCCACGAATTGAAGCATAGCACACAGTCAGGTTACGGTAGTTCTGGGGATGACCAGGCTAGCTTCTCAGGGGCTGTGCCCACTGCCCCGTCTGGGGCAGATGTTGTGCTAGGTGCTGGGGCCACTGGCCCTCCCCAAGTCAGACAGCCTGTGTTCTCAAGATTTTGGTTGGGGTCAGGATCCTGGGGGCTGCCTAGTGGGTGTTGAGTGGGGGCAGGATGCTGGGCTGGGAGACCCCTCACACCGGCTCCGCCCACAGGTGAGAAGCCCTACGTCTGCCCGTATGAGGGCTGCAACAAGCGCTATTCCAACTCCAGCGACCGCTTCAAGCACACACGCACCCACTATGTGGACAAGCCCTACTACTGCAAGATGCCCGGTTGCCACAAGCGCTACACGGACCCCAGCTCGCTGCGCAAGCACATCAAGGCCCATGGCCACTTCGTGTCCCACGAGCAGCAGGAGCTTCTACAACTGCGCCCGCCCCCAAAACCACCACTGCCCACCCCTGACGGCAGCCCCTATGTCAGCGGGGCCCAGATCATCATCCCCAACCCTGCTGCCCTCTTTGGAGGCCCCGGCCTGCCTGGCCTGCCCCTACCCCTGGCCCCTGGCCCCCTTGACCTCAGTGCCCTGGCCTGTGGCAATGGTGGGAGTGGTGGGGGTGGGGCGGGCATGGGCCCTGGGTTGCCAGGCCCCATTCTGCCCCTTAATCTGGCCAAGAGTCCACTGCTACCCTCGCCCTTCGGGGCTGGCGGACTGGGCCTGCCTGTGGTCTCCCTCCTGGCTGGCTCCGCAGGTGGCAAGGCCGAGGGAGAAAAGGGGCGTGGGGCAGTGCCAGCCAGAGCCCTCAGCATGGAGGGCTGCAAGACCCCCCTGGAGAGGACTGAGAGTGGCCGCTCCCGGCCCAGCCCTGATGGACTCCCCCTGCTGCCGGGCACTGTGCTGGACCTGTCCACTGGTGTCAACTCAGCAGCCAGCAGCCCAGAGGCGCTGGCCCCTGGCTGGGTAGTCATCCCACCGGGCTCTGTGCTACTGAAACCGGCTGTGGTGAACTGAACCCACCCTGGGGACAGCTACCCACTACCGCCAGCAGCTCCTGGCCCTGCCCCGACGAACAGAAACTCTTCTGCGAAATAGCAATAATGTCCTCCCGCCCCTGGGGCCTGGTTGGCTGTGCCCCCCACCCCCCAACAACCCCAGCCCTGGACAAGCTGGGCAGCAAGGATGGTGCTAGGTCACTGCTCGTGAGGGAGACCTGCCTGCCGGCCAGGGAGAGCTAAGCTCCTGGGTGCTGGGGCCTTGCTCACCTCTGGCCCTCAGTCCCCGTCCCATCCTCCACCCTGGTGACTCCCTCACCCCATGGCCAACCTGGGCAGGTCGCCCTCCCTTCCCTGCCCTGTCCACCTGCCAGCCCATCCCAGTAGTGGGGGCAGGTGGGTGGAGGCATCTACCCTCCCTGCTGGTGCAGGGCTCAGCTGTGACAGGGAGCCCCATGGTCGAGGCCCTACCCCTCCTGCCTAGCCTCACTAGGCCCCAGCTCTGGGGGCTCTTTGGACCCCTTTCCCTCTGGCCCACCCTCCAGAGGGAGAGCAAGACAGACGCAGGCCCTGGCAAAGCCACAGGAAGAGCCACCTTATCCTTATGACAAGGTGCCTCCCGCTTGGAGAGGGAGGCCCGCTCTGCTCGATCCCACCTACCTGTCCGAAAACAGCCAGCACTGCCTGCGGGTTAGCCCCTTCTCTGGGTTGAAGGATGCTCTGAAGAGGCCACTCAGCTGCCTCTTTACCACTGGGCCTCCTCCCTCTGCCTTGTGGGGAGCCCTGGAGTGTGGGAAGGGGAGGTGCCAGCAGCTCGGGCCTGCCCGGCTCAGGGAACAGGTGGGGTGGGCCTGGCCTTGGGCAGTGCCTCCTTGCATAGGGGCTGCAGAAGCCTGCTAGCTGGCCGGAGACGGGAGGCTGGCTAGGGATGACCCCAGGCCAGGATGCAGCTCTCATTCTGGAGTGCTAAGTCACAGCCAGCACACAGACGAGGGAGGGCTTCAGGCCAGTGCTGAGCACCATGGACTGAGGCCCTAGTCTTGGGGGACAGGAAAGTAGCTACGGACAGCCACAAGAGGCCTGGCCCCTCCACCTAAGGGGGGAAAGCTGGAGGAATTAGCCTGGACTGGTGACATACTGTTGGCTTTTCCCAGCCGAGCCTGTCCTAGAGGCGTCCCCTATACTCCCAGGGGTTGGAATCAGCCAAGGGCACTGACACTCCCCGTGGTGGGCTTTCCCCAGGCCCTGGGGACACAGCACATACTTTCCCCACCGAGCCCTGAAGTGGCCTGGTGCAGTCTGGGAGGTGTTAGCCTGGCCCTTAGGAGCTCTGGCTCCAAGGCCTGCCCTGCCCTTGGCCTTAGAGCAAGCCCGCCCTTTCCTGGCTATAGAACAAGGGAGCTGTGGGACAGCAGTGGAGTCCTTAGCAGCCCTGGGGTTCCAGGGTTCCCTGCTGTTCCTCCGAGCAGCTCTGCTGACCCCTCCCTTTCCTGGACTGCCCTTCTGTCCCAGAGGGGTCACTCTGACCCGGCCCTAACAGGGCCCGGCAGTGCTAGTTCTGCCCCTCGAAGGGGTTGTGAGCAAAGCGGGAAGGAGCTGGTCTTCTTTCTTCGGGCCCCACCCAGGACCCAGGCACCTCCACCCCCATTAAGGGCACCAGACCCTTAAGTTCCCAGTTGTGGGGTGAGGGGTTTGAGACTCGAGCCCAGGGAGCAGAGGAACAGGGCACTGGAAGGTGACATTAGCTCAGCATGTGACTCAGTGATAGACCAGGCTCGAGAGAGCCGGTGTACGTGTTGTCGTCAGTTTGTTGTTGCACATTCCAGGATATCAGTATTTTAACAGGTTCTAAGTGCCTTTCTATTGTAGCTTATGTTTTTCCTCCTCTTGGCTCCATTGCTGTTAGCATAGAGTTTAAAAAAAGAGATAAGCTAATGACTATAACAATATATTCCTCCATGTGAGAGGAAGTTTATAAAGAAACAATAAAAGTGAGTTGCAAAGATGGTTTCTGTCTTGGACGTGCCAGAAGCCAAACCGCCTGACATGAGACCGCTTTGGACTGCTCTGTACCTGGCTCTGGCCCTGGGGTCACCCACCCCCGACTGCAGCACCCAGAGGTCTTGTTCTGGGACTTGCTTCTGACCCTGCGGGTGCCCCCACTGCTTAATCTGCCGGGAGCTGCAAGGGGCAGGTGCTGAGAGCAGGAGTGCTAGGAACTGAAACGCAGGATGCCAGACAGAGCTGACAGGCTGTCAGGTCCTTGTTCTGCCAGTACCAGCTGTGACTTTGGTGAGTGGCTTAGCTCTTAGGGAGACCCAGTTCCCTGGCCTTGGGCTGCAATGAGAGGCTTCTCTTCGCTGGCTGCAGATGGAACATTCTGCCCAAATACTGAGATGCTAGAGTCAAATCCACCTCAGGAAAGGCAGCCTGTGACAGCTCGGGCCTGGTGCTCCATGCTCCGGTGGGAAGGGCAGGGGTAGACCTGAGGATAGTGATGCTATAGGAGGGCTTGTCACTGGCAATGTGACAGCAGGAGTGGCTGCATCCTGTACGTGACAGTATGCGGCCAGCTCTCTACGGGTGGGCAGGGCCAGGCAGCCTGCTGGCTTCTCGCCAAACTCACCCTCCCCGCACCCCCCACGCTCAGCCCACAGCTGGCAGGAAGAGCAGTTTGCCTTCTGGAATCTGAATGTGCACAACTGAAAAATGCGGAAAAGACATTTATTACTGAGCTATAAATTAGAGGTGGTGGGCAGGATGGGGTGGGAGGAGCCCAGTGGTCACGTCTGAGGCCTCTGCTCTTTCTCTCTGTCCTCCTGGGCCTGGATTCTGAGCTCTTCCTCAAGGCGCTCCTTCGCTCGGACCACCTGGGAAGGGAGTTATTGTACAAACAGCTAGGCAAGGTGACCTGCGCAGGATGGCCTCTTCCCATGTCCAGTTCCAGCTATGAGTCCCTGGAGAGCAGTGGGCAGGTCTAGTGCCTGGGGTAGAAGGGGTGACCTGGGGGCCTGCACTCCAGGGAGACAAAGCCCAGGGAACACTCGGACTGAAATGTGGGAGTTGAGAGCTGCTTCTAGCAATCCTTCAGCTAGAGGTCCTGTTTCCTCAAAGCCATGGCTGCTGGGAGGGCCTCTGTCCAGGGTGACACAGGGCCCAGGCTGACATGGCCCGACAGCTAAGGCAGCCAGAGGCAGTGGCAGTTTAGGGGGACCTTCCTAAGTTGGAGCACAAGGGAAAGGCCCGCTTACCTTTCTACCTGCCAAGCTCTGAACTGATAGGGAAAGTGCCCTGTCCCCTACTCCCAGCATCAAAGACCACTCACCTTTGACTGCAGGTAGAAGGAGCCGCCCACAGATTTATCATTCACCTTGAATAGGTGTTCGTAGTTCTGCAGAGGAGGGGAGACGGTGAGAGGTGTGTGGTCTCAGGGTTACAGAGGCAGGGGAAGCTAGGAGATGACAAAGAAGGAAAGCGAAAGGGCTCAACCCCTCTGCCCTATGTGCCTGAACAGTGACATAGGAAGTTGTTGCAACTGCTAAGGGGCAGAGAGGTGGACAGGTGCCCATGGAGGGAGGGGCTCGGCTGCTACCACCAACCGCTCTATGCCTCTGCCCTTGCCTGCCTTGGGCCTAAATCCTAGCAATGAACAATGGCTCCTAGAAGTCAGAGTCCTAGCTGGTTGCAGCCAGAGCATGGGCCCCTGCCCCTACCTGCCAGACCTCCTTCACTCTTCCCCAGGCTGCCCGCCACCCCGCCCCCCGCCCCCTACTTCTGGTCCACTTGTCTCAGAGCCAGCCTGGTGGCCTCACCTTCTGGATCTCCTCGGGGCTCAGCTTGGAAATGTTGAGAATCTGCTGTGCCTCCTGGAGGCTGAGGCCGGAGAGGTTGGAGGCGGCTGCAGACTGGTGTCCAGCACGTCCCCGGGCATCAGCTGCTGCCCGGCTGGCTGCGTGGACACATGAGTTAGTGCTTAGCCCTCACCAGCCCAGAACTCTCCTGGGCCTTCCATGCCAGGTGGCATGGGAGAAAAGATGCAGGGACAGAGGTGGCTAGAGGGCACCTCTTCGCCAAGAGGGGTTTCTTGTTTGGGGAGAGGGGGCGGTAGTGAAATGAGGACAGCTCTGCCCCACCGGAGAGCAGGGGCAGGGTCTGGTCACCAATCCTGTCGTCCTGTCTCCAGCCTAGACAACGAGATGACCCTGTCCCTCTTCTCTCTCACCCCTCATCCGGGCACATAGCAAGGTGGGCAGCTTCAGGCTACTAAAGGGAAAGAGGGCGAAGCTGTGGGCAGGGGAGGCAGCAATAGCTTTGACAAGACCCAGCTGCCACCTGGGTATCCAGGCCACCAAAGCAGGCTGCCTTGGGTGACCTCTTTTCTTTCAATGACCCTAGACTCAGAAACCAGTACGCTTTCTCTTAAAGGATCAAAGAATAAATAGTTTAGGTTCTGTAGGCCAATTAATCTGTGTAGTAATTACTGGACACTGCCTTGAAAGCACCCCGAAGTGTGGCTATGTCCAAATAAAACTTTATCTACAAAAACAGACGGCCAGGTGGGCCAGTTTGCCAACTCCTGCCTGGATGCTCATGTCAACCAGGTCTCCCTTTTTTGGGATGCCTCCCTCCTCCCCAACATGGGAAGTGCCCCAGGCCACCCAAGCTGCCAGAACTCCAGCCCACAGAGAGTCCCAGCGTGAGGGACCATACGGGGAAAATGTGACCTGGGCAGGAGCTCCCAGATGAGGGGGAAACAGGGACAACGCTTACCTGCAAACTCCTGCCGCAGGGCCCGGGCGAAGGCCCTGCCCACCACCTGTGCCCCCATCACAATGATCTGAGCCAGGTACTTGGCCTAGGGGCAAAGCAGGGACCTGGTTAGCAGGCTGCATTCTCAGGGCCCTCAGAGATGGGACCCTGGAAATGGCTGCTGAGACGTAAGGCCTCTGGAGAATTGATGTAATGAAGTACAGAGCAGCAGCCACAGGCCACTTCCCCCAAAGTACTCTAAAGAAAAGCTGCTCTGGGTGCTCATGGGACAGCAGGTCAGGGGGCAAACCTGACCAAGTTCCCAGAGGCAGACAGGATTCTCCCTTGGCCGCTGGAAGTGGCAGACAGGAGCCAAGGCAAAGTGGCTACAGGGCACAGAGGCCACTGGCCTCAGGGATAATACCAGGGCCTGAGAGCCCGAACTAAGGGCCTTTTCCAGCCTTACCATTCACTTTGCCACCCTGGGCCAACCAGGGCACTTGGTGTGCTTCTGAGATCAGCTGGTCCAACCTTCATTCTACCGGTGGGATACCTGGAGCCATTCTAATTCTCCCAACACTATTCTAGTGCGTTCCATTCAACACAACAAAAGAGCAAAACACTCTCCACCTTCTAGGAGTGGAAGCCCACGAGGCAGGCATTTAGACAAATGTACCAAGGACCAAGTGGTGAGAGAGCTGGTCACGTATTCCTGCACTGACTCACTCACTCACTGAGAGGCAGCACTCGGACTCCACAAATATACCGGCCCTGGCCCTCCTAGCTCTCGCGCCCACTGGCCTAGCAGGGAAAGCCTCCACAGCTGCAGCGCGGGGTTCAGTGCACCAGGGAAGCAAGCAGGAAGTCTCGTTAACCGTGACCAGAGGTGAGGAGAGGCAATGGAGGAAGACCCAGGAATGAGATGGAGATGCTGCGAGACGATGGTATTTCTACTAGGCTGGGGTTTTTTTTGGTTTTTTAAAAATATTTTATTGGGGAGTTGGGGAGGGGAAAGACAAGTTGCTGTCCTTTTGTTCTTCAGTCTAGTTGTGGAGGACGTCGCTTCACTGGCCCATGCTGGCATTATCATTGCGCTCTTCCCGGCTGAGGCAGATTGGTCGCCGGCCACTGGGCAGTCGCTCACAATGGCTCTTGGCAGCTCATGCCGGCTGCCAGCCACTCACAGTAGTTTATGGCAGCCCACTGCAGCCTACACCGTCACCGGCGACTCACGGCAGCCCAGCTCTAGGTGGAGCTGTTGTTCAGCATCTTAGCTGTAGAGGACGCAGCGTCACTGGCTCTCATGTGGGATCTGAACCAGGGCGCTGCTGCTCAGAGCTGGCGTCCCAAGCCAGCTCTTAACCAATGCGCCACTCAACCGTTGAAGGGCAGGTTATGATGGGAATGTTGAGGTTTCCTAAGCAGAGGGAACAGGGGGAGCCAAAACTGGGGGAAAGTATAAGGGATGTCCCGGGCATAGCCAGGAGCCCAGCGGACTTCTATTACAGACCAGGAAGGCGGCCTATTTATTTGGGAAGAGAGATCACAGATAGCCAGCACATGTGAAAATGACCCTATGTGTGTGAGATGGTACAAACATGAGTGCATAGAGGACGCCTGGGAGAATGCTCACCGCGGGCCGACACTGCTCATGGGGCACAGCCAAGTGATTTTCCTTTGTACTTTTCTGTCATTAGATTTCCTATCAGTCAACAAGTACTGACTGAACTGGGTGCCAGGCACCGTGCCAAACACATTCTATTGGTTGTGCCATTTAATCCCAACAATTCAAAACACTGACACACAGAGGGGTTTAGTGACCAGCCCGGGGACACACAGCTAGTACTCTGGGGGAGGTGGGCAGGGAGCCCAAAGCCAGTGCTGTCAGCCCTGGCGTCCCTAGGCTGCCCACCTCACACAGGACCCTGGGTTCTGCAGGGAGGGTGACAGAGCAACCTGGCAAGGAGCGAGGACTCAACCCAGAGGCCAAAGAAGGGCTTGTTCAGATTCCAATGGAATCCAGACTCCAGAGTTGGCCTGTTCGGCCTCCAGTGAACCTGCCCTTCACTAACGGGTGGGGCAGGACATGATTCTGGACCATTAGCGGGAATTAATAAATGGAAGAGGGTTTGGATTTCACAAGTGGGTGGAAATTTCATAAGCCCCGTATTTCACACCAGAAAACAAAGCTCAGTGTAGACTCCTGTGATCAAAGGGAGGGGCTGGGCTGCAGCCAGCTGCCTTGCAAGTGTCAAGAC